GACATAAGTTGAGAAAAAGCACGCGGTTTGTCGTTGCCTGTCGAATTATGATCCGAGAGTCTGGCTCAATTTCCCTCAATATAGTGAGCTACTATTCCTTATACGGCTAAAAGTACCGGACAAGCAATGTGGATTTACTTATTGCCGCTGGAGAAGGACGGATGACTAGGGGGTGTAATCGAGAAAGGGTGGTAAAGTGACCGAGAAACCGAACCGGCCTACGGTAAAGGAAGACAAATGAAGAATGTATCTTTCATTGATTACGGTGATTGAAAAGACTGTAAAATTGCACAAACCATCTGACTTTCTGAAACACGTAGATGTGGAAAAAAACACGGACAATGATCTGAGTTGAAATAAACTAAGAGAATACATATTACCATGATGAGAAAACAACGGTCTTGAAAATGAGAAGAAAATATCGAGGCTAACGCAGAACATAACTTCACGGAATGATTGAAAGCTTGGAGAATACCAACACATGGCGGGTGCGATGGAGACACAGGGAGTGCAAAAATGCACAGTGGCCGGACGTGAACCATCAACAGGAACAATTACCAGAGGATGCGAGACTTGAGAACTGAGGTCGGGGAGAGTTGGAAGAATTGCGCGCGGCGGGAGTTCCGGCCGTCAGAGTGACTCCGTGTGGCTTACAGCCACCTATCCTATCCGGGTCCATTTCACCGCTTTTCACCTTAGCCAACAGGGTGCGCACACATTGAGTAAATGCTTCGTCAACATTTTCACCGGTCAAAGCGGAGGTTTCAATCAGTTGCATGTCGTTTTCCTGGGCGAATGCGTTTGCCTCCCAGTGCGTCACCTGTCCATCCGTGTCCTAGAGGGGGCGGAAGAAGGATAACATCAGGAAACTACCGTGACTGTCTCACCCTTGGCCATAGCAGTGCTCCACGGAAAGCATCTGCAGACATCCTGAGGAGGGGGTGATGAGAGGGGGTTTGAACTAGAATGGACACACGAAGTTACCGTCGACCGACCACGAAATCCAGTTTGGAAACGGATTAACTGCATACGAATATATTAGGAATAAGATGCCAATAAGGAAAAGGAAACGACAATCGTTGAGGATGCAAATAACTGGAACGCGAACGTTCTCATTCATTCGTGAAACGGCAATCGCACTAGTATAGCGTGGATTTCATATTGACAGAATTCTGGGACGACGACATCCCTCTTAAGAAAATTTTTAGGGATTTATCGATATGCACGACTACGAGACGCGATAAAAACTTCATATTAGCACAATACGTCAAAAGAAGGTATAACGAAGCATTCTGCGTAGCATCACTTCGGTTACAAAGAGTGGGCTTAGGGTTTAACAACAGAGGTGGTGTGCTTCCGAACATATAGCAGAGGTCTAATGAATTTGAGGACTTGGTTTTAGACTACGAAATGCGTTGCTTCCTGGAATCAGGGTTGGCAGGACTGAAATCAACGAACTTCGCTACCGGCAAATGCTGGTGACGTATCGGACATGCCATTGCGAAGACAAAACTGTTAGCAGTTTGATGTTGGCAGTTCATGCGCTGACCTGTCAATCGAAAGGTAAAAGGAAATTGATCGGGACATGAGGGCAGACTTTATGAAGAATACAACCCGCCCAGTGTACAGACGATTTTGCCTGTGGCTGAAGGATTCAGGCTGTTTCCCGGTTAATAGCTCGGACTTGTGGGCGATGAGATCTGCCATTGATCCTATGAGGCCAGTCAAACAACGACTGGCGCATGAGTGTGTTTATAGTGAGGCGTATGTTCGGCCCAACTACTTTTCTTTATTGTCCCACACCGTCGCCTGCTAGAAAGACACCGCCGCATCGACTGAAAGAGTGGACATGGGCGCAGCGGCTGACCAAGTTGAACAGGCCGTGGACGCGTGTATCACAAAACTTTCTTCCCCTAATTTACACGGACAAGGCTTAATTATCGGGTGGAGTCCCGGATCGAACATGAGTGGAAATGGCATAATGGTTACAATAAAGAGCCGTTGCAGCCTGGCCCTCGGTTCTCAGTAGAATCGATGTATCCCCTAAGCTAGCAACCATCCATGTCACACTCGTGAGTAGGTACTACGCAGAACTCGTTTTTAATGTGCACAGGCAGTGGTTGCTTTCAACAGGGTCTCAGTCAAAGGCACCGACTGCCTGATTCGTCGTCTACTTCACCTCCTTTCCTATCGTTAAGTATTTCGTCTTTTTTTTACTAACACATGAGTGCGACCACAGTCCTTTATTGCCAGAAAAGGGGTAAAATAAAACGCTCCGAGCGTCGATAGATTGCATAGGAAAGAATAAGGCAAACAGATTGGAAAACCTGATTGCAGCTGCTACCAGTCAACGCGTAAATAGACATTAGTAACGCGCGATGTTTAAGCGAACAGGGTGGGAAGGCTTTTCGGTACAAGCACGTGCTAGAAAGGTGCCTGTTGTCGGATAAACTTACTCAGTTAAGTAGGGATTTGTCGTCGAATTTAACAAAGATCGAGTGCGGGTAAAGAAATGAAGAGTAAGAATAGTTTAATGGCATCACTGCAGAAGCCCCAAACCCCACAATTCTGTGATATAGGCCCGGTGGTAATAGGGGTGTCGCAGGTGGGGAATAACAGTGCGCAGTATAGAATATTAAAAAATATGTACAAAGTAGTAAATAATCGATAAATTATAATAAGCTAATACGTACAACGAACAAGCGCACGGTAATTGGTGTTCT